GCTGCTCTAGTTACAAACTATTTTTCCTTTCACTGCACCTAGTGGGAACTCTTGATAGGAATGCAAGAGACCACTTAGTAAAGACAAAAGACTTCTATTTCAATGCAGTAGCAAGTGGGAGGTGGCTTATGGTGAGGTAGCCAGTGAGCAGAAGTACCAGCAAGGCTGACTTAGTAACAGTGAATCAAAGTGATTCCAATGGGCACATCCAGATGAGCATGCACATGCAGGGTACATAGTTGTGCTGCTGCTTTGTGCCCCAGGGCATGCCCCTAAACACGTATTCTGGCATGTGCTAAATTGTCTTGGGTAGGGTAGGGGAGGCTGGGACCAGCACTTGTGCTGGCCCCAATATCCTTATCTGGGGTCTTGGGGGTCTCCCAGAGCAGCAGAAGTACAGATCTTGTCACAGAGCCTGGCCGACAGCCAGAGCATGGCTCTGAATGGTTAGGCTCTGTTTCTGGTTGCGCATACTGCTGCTGAGTGCACGGTGCTGTTTTTTTGCAGTGGTTTTGGTTTTTTTTTTTGGACACTGCGATATTTTTGATGTGCCCACTGACTCAAACTGTTAGTTGGACTGTAGCAGCCATAGAGAAGTGATCCCAGAAGCTGAGCAGGGGGCTGACAAAGTACTGAGTACACTCTGGTTCCACACATGAACCAAAGTCCCTGCAATTTGAATGGGATGTCCTGAGCTGGCAAGATCTTGGGAAAGTGGTTGGGAAAACTTCCAATTTCCAGGCTGCACTGGGCATGGGGAAAGCAGTTTTCTTGCTGGCATGCCATGCGTTTCCCCCAATGTCTACCCCTTCCCCTTGCCCGCACCAACTCCCAGGTCTCTAACCTACAGGAAGTGGTAGGGGTTTTAAGGAAATGTGTAGTCCTGGCATGGGATGGGAAGGGAAGGGAAGGGAAGGGAAGGATGTTCTGCCTTCTGGGAGGGGGTGTAGCACAGCATGTAGAAAGCATGTTTAGGAAAATATGGTCATGGCCCTTATAGCCTCTTTGGGGTGGGTTTCAAAGTTGGCATTGCACTGGACAGTCATGGCACTTACAGGTTCTCTCCCTGGGACAGGGAGCAGTGGGACGAATTGCCTTCTAGGCACGGGCCACATTGGTGGCCACTTTTATCACTTGTGGATCAGGCCGAGCAAAGAACTGGTACCACATTCTCAGGTAGCTTTGAAGTCTGGCCTTCACATTCAAAAGGATACCGACCCCATTGATGGAACCACTGTAGCTTAAAATCCCCTTCTAGGAGTCAAAATAGTTTGGCTGGGCTGTGTCCTCTAAAACAAGCAGGGCCCACAAGGGACTAGCTCTAACCCAGGCAACTAACTGCATCTGGAACAGGGATACCTTTGCTAGGGACATATCAGCAAGAAAGCCATAGTCCGGCAGTGACAAGGCAGAAATTCAACCATGACCAGTTGCTCCCACCCCAGCCGCCAATGGAAACTTGAGGGGCTGGCCACAGATGCGTCAGTCAGGAGTCATCACTGCGAAGAAACTGTCCTGCACCCAGAATTTCAATAACATGTGAACGAATGGTTAGTATGCTGTTCTCCATTTTATCAGAAAATGTCAATACATTTACAAAGACCAGTTGGCTGCTTTGCTGTTTTCAGTGCAGACACTTGTGACCAGCGGGTTGGCAGGCTCTGGCAACGATGACATTGTAAGGCAGGGGAATAAGACTTCGGTGCAGAGAATGACCTGTCGCAGGAGACAGAAGTGGAAGTGCAACGAGGGGATGCTGGTAGTCTTGTCTTCTTCTGGTCAAAGAGCGGTGGTGGCAGATGAATTGAGGCCCTGATTAGAGTACTGAAACTCTCAGGTCCCCAGATTTCCTGTCTACAGTCCAGCACCAGTGCCAGGTCTCTGATCTTCACAGAAGAGATGGGGAGCCGAGGCATATAGCACCTTTCCTCATCTGCCAAGGTTCTGGCCCAGATAAAAACCAGGGAGGAGTCGGAGCCTCTCCCTAGCCAGGAGGGAGGGGGCAGGGGGGCAGCCAGATGAGCCGCGGCTTCTCCCAGGGCTGCCGGCTCAAGCCTGGCCTCGTCTGGCTGCTCCTGCCGGCGCTGCCTAGTGCCTGCCTGTACAGTCTACGGCTGAAACTCCATGAATTGATTCCGAGCCTTCTGGTTTGATTTGGAGAGATTAATGGCTCTCCAAATTTGATTTGGAGATTCGGACGCCAGATCGGGCCGAATCTTCTCTGAATCGAATCGGCAATCGAAGCTTCCCACAGCCCTGGGACAGGCCTGTGAGCATTCCCCATGGTCCATGTTGTGGCACCTCACCCTACCATGACACCCAAGGTTGCCATCCAACTTCAATCCTCCTCACTCCCCCTTCCCCTCCACACCTGCCTCCCCCATTCCTTCAGCATTTTAAAACCCACCAAAAACAAAAAGCAATATAAAAAACAACAACCCCTGCCCTATCCCCCCACCAAAAAAAAAAAAAAAACTGAGGCTGC